TCTCCTCCCCTCTCTCGTACGCCTCCAGTAACATTTAGGCTCAGACAATTTAAGTTAATACTTTCTTTTAAATTTTACACGGTTTGGCTCTTACACAGGCTTAACTCTGCATAATTGCCTGTTGTAATTCAGTAGTTAGACCCAGGATTAATTTAACCCATTTTTCACTTCAGTGGGGTTACTCAAAGACAATTTTCAGTGGAATACGAGCCCTCAGCTTTAAACAAATGCTCCGTGTTTCTTATTTAACGCTTCTTTTCTGTTTCCTGACAAGGAGGTGAGCGAGCTGTGGGACTAAGGAAACGTCATTTCTTGCAAACTTAGGAGACTGCTGCTCGCGTGAGTTCGGCTCCTGCGAAGCCCCAAGGACCGACTGCAGGCTGCACAGAGCTGAGCCCGTCAGTGGCATCCTGCCGCCGTCTGTCCCTTCCTCCCTCACGAGAATGAGCTCATGCCCGGAGAGCGCACTGTTGCTGCGTCCCCCGGCTGGGACAGCTGCATCCCTCCCTCCTCTTTTAGCTACTTGTTCTATCAAAGCTCCTGTTTTATATCGAAGCGGAGCTCCGCAGCTCGGTCTGCTTGGTGAAACGGGCTTGTCCCAGCCCGGAGCTGCTGGGCGAGCGCAGGGCCACGGGCAGCTGTCGCGTCAGCAGTGCCTGCCCAGCAGACGCGTTCTCGGCGGACTCTGAACTCGCTGCTCGCTGTCACGCTCTCGGTGTCGTTTCTTGGATGGCGCCCGTCGTTCGGGTTTCTTCGGTCATAGAAAGCGCCGAGACTGAACTTCCCTCCCAGACATTTATCTCCATAACCCACGCACACCTTCAGCCGCCCTGCTCTTATTGCTGCCGTGCCTGCTCCAGGCAGGACCGGAACACCTATCACAAAGGTTATCCCATACTTTCCACCATAAAAACCCTGTTTTACGTTGATTACGTCTTCGAAAACTTCGTTGGTTTTCAGCCAAGGAAGCAAGGTGGGGCAGGGATCTTGTCTCCACGCTAAAATAATTCTAAAAACGCTTCTTTTGTGAAGAGGCCTCATGCCACCATGGGCTGCAGCCCAAAATGGTGGAGGGAAGGGCGAGCTTTCCCCTCTCCATGATGAAGCTGCCGAGGAGCCGCAGCCTGCCCACCATCCCCAACATCTGCGTGGGGCCCGGCGGGGGCTCCTCCGCCGCTCCACGCG